CTTAGTACATATAAGATCTTTAATACTTTCTTGGTCAAAATAAGCAGCAATAAATAATTGTAAGATGCTATCAAAAGCACAAGTATTTTTTAATGAATATTTCTCTTTTCCAATAAGAACTGGTTTTAAAGATATACTATTACCATTTCTCATAATTGGTATCTTACGTATATTGCTTTCTAATAAAAATTCATTTTGTATACTATCCTTTTGTAAATATCTTCCTCTGGATTGTACATCCGCTGTTGCCAAGCCACGCCAGTCTTCAATTTCCTTTGTTGCAATTATGTCTTGAATATTATTAATTTTTTGGCAACTGACACATATTCGCCGCTGTCCATATCCTTCTTCTCCAAGTGATATGGAACATCCTTCCAGAGCATGCACATACTTTTTGCATACGTAACACGCATGTCCACTAGTTGGTTCGTGCCCATTTTCACAAGCTGGACATCGTTTTTCGCTTCTTGTGTAATTTTGTTCAATTAATTTGGTTATCATCTTCATTAACATCCTCTTGTATTTCTATTGCATTTCTAACCGTAACTTCTTGAGTTTTTGTATGTGCTATTTTTAAACATCCGCTCATGAAGTTCACGTGTTTTGTAACAAATTCATCTGCACGCATAGGTGTTTGTTCCGTTTTCAACATAGTATTTTTTTGTCCGTATTGAGTAGAGCAACTGTTTTGGTCCGCAGTGATGAAGTCGAAGATGCTCTTTCCTCATGATTGTTGTAGTGATGTGATGCTTAGCTGGTAATACTGTCGGGTGTCTTTGAGTCTCGGACACCTCTGCTTTTGACAACCGCCCTCCTTACTCTTATCACTCCTTCCTTATCCAGAAAGGGGCTTAACGGCGTCAGTCTGCTTCCCTTGAGTACCTGCTGTCCTTTCTCAAGAACTTGCAACTCAGATAAAAAGATTTCACACTGTACCATTTTCGCGATGTTTGTGTCAGCATGCTCGAGCTCCTCCAACTGTAAGAAACCTCTTTTTTTGGCACCTAAGGCATTGGCCTTGAATCTCAACCAGTAAGCAATTACTCTTTGAAGTTTCTCGTACTCGGAAAATCTTTGCAGTATGTCATAATTTAGCCTCTTTTGTGTAAGCAACGTTATTGTTTTCATTTCGGACGTATCGATACCTATTGCTGGTGTCTGAGGCCATTGACCAGTTACGAGCCACTGAGGCCCGTGCCACCATAACTGATCGTTTCTCCACGTCTCCACGATGATTCCTCTTGAAAGCAGATCCGCAGGATTCTCTTTGGAAGGGACGTGACGCCAGGTCACGTCATGCGATAGATTTTGGATTTTGGAGATCCTATTAGCCATATAAGTTTTCCTGACTTTTGGAGACTTGGCAATCCAACTGAGCACTACAGTGAAATTACTCCAAAGGTGAACGTTCCGAATCTTGTTACCATAAGCGTTTCTTGTTGTATCACACAACTTGGCCAGAAAGAGCGCTGCGTTGAGCTCGTGTCTTGGTAACGAGATCGTTTTTAGAGGTGCGACTCTACTCTTTGAACAAATTAGATGCGACTCCGTTGTTTCTTTGGCACTTTGAGAAACGGCATAGAGACAAGCACCATATGCCCTTTCTGATGCATCTCCAAAGCCGAAGAGATCAAACTTGCAATCTTCGTTATTAGGATTGATATTCCTCTGAATTCTTACGTCGTTTATTTGCTGCAGCAAGCTGTAATATTCGTTCCACTTAGCCTGCAATTCCGGCGGAAGAGCTTCGTCCCAGCGTGTTTTTAACTTCCACATTGATTGCATGATACATTTTGCTACGATAACCACTAGTCCCAACAATCCTAGTGGGTCAAATATTTGGGCTATCTTGGACAGCACCAGACGCTTTGTATTTTTTGCAAATTTTTCGATCGTCACTTTGTACTGTAGATCATCAGACTTCGCGTCCCAGAGCAGGCCTAACATCTTCATTGCACCTTCTTTATCTATTGCGACGTGAACTAGCCTCGGAATCACGCCAGATCCGAGGGAGCACGCCCAATGAAAGTCGGTAGCCCGCGGTATTCCACGTTTTCAGGAGTTAGGTAACTTACGCGGTGTCGGCAGGAAATGCACGACTCGGTAACTCGCGGTATCGGCAATAAATGCACGACTCGGTAACTCGCGGTATTGGCAATAAATGCTCGATTCGGTCACTCGCGGTATCGGCAACAGATGCTCGATTCGGTAACTCGCGGTACTCCACGCACGTCGGGAGCAAGGTAACTCGCGAAATCGGCAATAACTGCACGATTCGGTAAGTTGCGGTACTCCACGCACGTCGGAAGCAAGGTAACTCGCGAAATCGGTATCCGGAAATGGACGCCAGGTGCGTATAATCGCACCACGGTAACGGTAACTTCAATAATTCTTTTAATATATCCGGCCGCTCCCCGCTCAGTATCTGGCAGAGGGGCGCAGTTCTTTTATTCGGCGTTAGAAATCTGGAGTGAGAGGCGAACACAAGGACAACTCAGCAATTAAGATTTAACAATAATATATTTCAACGATTGGTTACAAGGGTTAAAGATGAGTAAATGGTTCGGCCTAAGCCGATACAACAGAAATAGTTTAATACAGCGGCAGTAAGGCAATTCGCCCACAAAATCGGTAACAAGAGCAAATTTCGGTAACTACATGAAATTTCGGAAACGCGATCACGACATATTGCAACTGATCCGACGATATTCAGCGAAACGGATAGCACGTAACACGACAATGCAATGCGACCGATGAAGGCCAAACAAATATGATTCGAACGACGATAGCCTAACGGCCAGAAATGATATGTCGCGGAGCGGCTATTTTCGCGGGTTCGTTTCGTTTCTTGCAGAGACGCTAAAGTGGCGGTAACAGCGGTCTCGCGGAGAACGTTCCCGAGCAAAATCCGTCCGCGGACATTCAATCACGGTACTTCCAGTACTATGATAATGCGAAAAACGGTAACAAAAACTGTATTATAAAAAAAAGAGGCGGTAACGGAAAGGCGGTACGGTAACCCGATAACGAAACGGAACGGGAACAGAAACGGTAGCGAGAGAGAGATTGTCGGTGCTTGATTCGTGCAAGTTAGAGACTTTGACGCGATATCCGGAGCCGGCTGGATATGCGGTAACTGAGCGCGCCAAAAACGCGCTCACGGTAACAAAATCGCGGTTAGTTGTGTGAGAGACACAGAATACAGAGTTTTAGACTCACGCTACCAGCCATAACCGGACGGAACTCTACGGCTACCCGAGAGGCGGCTTACATCAAGTCGGCGTCTTCGGCGTCGGAAGCGTCCTGGAGCTCATCCTCACTTTTTAACGGCACACCGAACAGTGCCTCTTCTCGGGTCTGCAAGTTGGTCCTTCTAATCCCGCGTTGCCTTCTCGCGCATCCTGCCGATTTTCCGAAAAGGGGGCCCCTGAGAACCGTCCACAGTTCATCCAAGGCGCCCCCCCCTCCCCTCGCTTTCTGTGGCTTTCTCAAATCATCCGGTTCGGATCGCGTTGATAATTCGATGTTCCCGGAAGAGACTGGTTAGGCTGGCCGGGCCATACTCCGGTCCTTCCAGATGCAGCATCCTCGGAGTCCTCGGTGCCGTCTGCAGCCGGGCGAGGTCCGCTGCTGCGTTTCTTTGTGAGTTTGTGGCTAAAACCAAAGCGAAGTTAGTCGATAGGGCTTGGATGGCGGAGGCGACGGGATCGCGGTACCTGACCTTTTCTGCTGCGGGATCACTAACTCGTGACACCCGTTGATGATCCCCCGGCGTCCGGTCTCTATGGCGATGCTGAATCTTCGTCCTGAGGCACAAAATACGCAATGCCGTCCGCACGGGGTCTCGCGTTACAACTTAAACGATAATAGACATACAAAATGGGAACGAAATATAAAGTAACGCGCAAAAATGGTGGAGTCTTGCGGGTTGCTCTCTCAACGCGAGGAGCAACTCCAAGACCTTTTGCTCCCTCGGCCGGGCTATCGCCCTTGTGACGGCGCTCGAAAAGCGTCACGTCACACTATTTTCAGCAGACTGTCATTATTACTGGCGTTCGATAGACGCTCCAATATTTGCTGATTGTTTGAACGCCATTTTCTCAGCTGAAACTGTCCCTTTTGAAGTAATTGAGACAGTTGCTGTTGCAAAGTCTTGGTTGCCATCACTGTGTTAGCGCCTGTTAAATCGTCATCTATATAGAAATCTTCTCTTAAGACCGTTGCTGCTTATGGAAACTCCTTGTCTTCGGCCGCCAGTTGTCTTAGACATTTTATGGCCAAGTAGGGTGCTGGTGCAGTACCGTATGTTACAGTGTTCAGTCGGTAAGTATGAATAGGTTGCGATTGATCTTGTCTCCAAAGAATCCTTTGAAGATCCCTATCAGCTTCTTGTACAAGTATTTGTCGAAACATAGCGGCTATATCCGCTGTTATAACAAAGCGATGCGCTTGAAAGCGTAAGATTATATCAAATAAATCGTTCTGGAGATTCGGTCCCGCCATCAACTTATCGTTTAAAGCCGTCCCGATAGTCGTTCTGGCCGAAACGTCGAAAACGACACGCAATCTTGTCGTCATATTATCTGGCCGAATCACTGGTTGATGCGGAAGCACGTACGATTGTTCAGGTCTCTTTTCTGAGTATGGTGAGACAAGCGACATGTGCTGTTGCTTTTCATATTCCTTCATAAACTGAATATACGCATTCTTCATGTCTGGATCCATTTTTAAGCGTCTTTCTAGTGTATACAATCTTCTCATTGCTTGATTCTTTGACTCGCCTAGCTCGACTTCAGGTTTCTTTGGCAGCGCTACGATAAATCTGCCGGTATTGTCTCTTTCAACTGTTTCGATAAACTGCCGTTCACATTCAGCTTCCTCTTTTGTAAGACATCGTTTCTCGCGCGTTTCTTCTTGATTCCAAAAACGTTCGAGTTGAGCTTGAAGCGCTGCATTTGTTATAAGACCGCAGAAGTTGTTGGGAGGCTCAGACCTCGCGTCGATGAGCTTCCCTCCTACAATCCATCCTAGTGACGTATTCTGCAACCTAGGTATTCTTTTTGCTTGCTAAATTAAATCCCTGCATATCAGCTGCAAAAGAGTCCTGCGCCCAAAAATATCTCTACCTTACCGGGCACGTGAAAGTCTGGATCTGCCAGACGCCATTTCTCCGGCAAGCAAAACAACCTTGTGTTAATTTTGACTTGCGGAAGTCTTTCTGTTATAGTTGGCAGCACAAGACATTCGATTGTTGTCTCGTAGTCTGTGCGCATTGACTTGATCTTTATTTCTACTGTCCTCCCGATATTCGGTTTCGATTTATTTATTTATTCCGCTTATGATTTCGCTTTGTTTTTTGCACTTTAACTTCAGCCTGTTGACGAGTTCTTGCGTTATTAAATTTGATTGAGAGCCTGCATCTAAAAGCACACGGCAACTTTGCTGATTTCCATCTTGTCTTCAACTGCGACTCGAGCCGTTGACAATATCACGCACGACGCGGGTTTTCTTGTGAGGTTGATTTCTGTGGATGATTTTTCTGTATCTTCCGAGATGTTACCTTGAGTGTTGTGCATGACAACCGACTTCTATGATGGACTCTCCTTTAAATTTTGATTATTTGCCGGCTCTTCTTTGTTTTCCCAATGTAACAACGTGTTGTGCTTCTTCTGGCACATCCTGTACGCTGACGACTTACAAGCTGCTGCGAAGTGACCTTTGCTTAAGCAGTTTATGTATGCCTTTTTTGCTTTTACTTCCTTTATTCTATCCGAAACAGATAACTGCTGAAAGTCCGGACATCTGTAGATTTGATGATTCTTACTGCAAATTATGCAACTCTCTTGAGACGTAGATGCTAAAGCTATCTTTTTCTCTTATTTTTTCGGTGCTAAAGTCTTTGACGCTTTTTGTTTCCCTTTAGATTTGTCAATCATTTCAAACGTTCGACAACGCTCACTCAAAAATGTCAAAAACTCCTCCAATGTTGGTCGGCGTTCTCTTTCCTTGTTGCTTTCTTTTTCCCAATTTCTTTGGGTGTTGAAATCCATTTTATTTTTCAACCAATATATTAATAGCTCGTCCCATCGATCGACAGGAAGCTCGAGTGTCTGCAAAGCCTTTAAATGCGTTCTAACGTAAACAATCAGCTTTTTCATGGTTGCTGGTCTCTCGATATAACTGGAAAATCAAGCAATTGATTAAGATGCGTATTAATAAGAAATTTCTTATTCTCATAATTTTGTACCAACAGACCCCATGCATTCTCGTAGTTCGCTGCAGTCGTTGCTAATCCTCCGACAACTTGCAACCTCGCCGGTTAACAAACTCCGCAAGTACTGGAATTTCTGTATTGCTGTAAGAGATGTACTGTCATGAATTATTGACTGAAATGCGTCCTTGAATAGGAACCACTCGTTGTAATTGCCATTAAACTTTGGAAGCTTTAATGTCGGAAGTCTGACATCCAAACGCCTGTCGTTTTGTCCCTGTTGGTCTCCGCGCATGTTTTGATGCTTCGCTTGCTCTGCGGCCATGGCAGCCTGAGCTTCTGCTTGGTTATTGGCCTGTGCTTCCATTTGTGCTAAATCTAAAATAGTTTGAATTTTCGTCGCTGTTTCGAAATAAATGTTTTCAAAGATTTGCCTCTCTGCTTCTTGTTCAGCGCAAATCAAATTTTCGCTTCCATCCTCTCCAGTTTCTCTCAGCTTTATCTCATCAATTTTTTCTTGCACCTCTTCAAACGCCATAGACTCTCGATCTTCTTTGACTTCACCCTGACCTCGGACGCCGAGGTGTCTTCTTTTATAGTATTATTAATTCGAGTCATTTGACCCTTTATGGTCGCTTTATTTTGCTTTAATCTTCTTAAATCTGCCATTTTGCTTTTTAATTAGATCACTTCAACTGATAAGATGATGCTTAGAATACCTAACTGTCAGCTGATGCCGACA